CGGCAGTCCACTTGGAAGCTGCTGGTTTTCAATGTCCCAACAGCACAGCCACCAGCCCCTCACAAACCTGTGGGAGATCAAAGAAAGGAAGCCCAAACCCCTTTCCCACTCACAACTACACTCATGCCCTGCTCTCAGGTCACGACAAATGGCCTCCTGTCTCCCAGATCCACTTAGTCCAACTCCTCAGGGCCATGCGTGCCCTCAATCCCGCCAGTCAGTCTGCTGGAACGCTTCACGTGCTTCCCTAGCCCGGCTCAAGGGCCTTTTTCACTGAACTGTTTTGAACGCCCTCCTCCTCCCCTCACCCCAGGGAGATGGTCACCTCTTGTCCCCACAGCCCAGTCCCAGGGTACAGCTCCGGAGGTGCAGCTGCCCCTCAGCCTCATGGCCAGATCTTCCAGAAATTTTTATTTATTTATTTTTTAACATGAAACTTTTCTTTTTTTTCTTGATTTTAACACCTCTGCTTCAAAATGAAGGTGATTTAAATCCCCCTCAGGATCAAACGAAGCCAGATTCCCTATGGGCCACCAGTATGCAGTATGCGCCTTCCTCAGGCAGGGGGCACCCTGCACCCAGAGAGGACTTGGGGGGGCGGGTGTGGGAATGGGGGTGTCGCTGACTTCATGCCAGAGATGTAACTGCATGATCTCCTGTAATTCTCATCAAATAGAAACGGCTCGAGCCCGTTTTCCAGCCAGGAACACCAAAACTCATTGCTGAGATGCACGTCCACTGTTTCAGCCCTGGTCTAGCCCTTCTCGAGCCCTGCACAAGCCAGATGAGGGGTGCACAGACAAGGCGCTGCCTAGCTCCCTGGGTGACGCAGCAAGGTACTGAGGCCTCCTTGCTGGGCCTTGAGACCACAGAGCCTCACACACCAGGGAGAAAGCAACAGTGTCCTGACCGGATACCACGGAGTAGCCAGGCCAGGCGCTCATGGTAACCCCGGGATCTCCTTCCCTCTGCACGCCCCTCCCTGGCTCAGAATTCCCTCCAGAATCCGATCCAACAGGTCGCATTTTCTTACGCACCAGATCTGAGCATTAATATTCAAGAAGGTCCGATTAGCAAATATTTACTTTTCACTCAGCAGTTCAGACCTGCCCCCCAGGGAGGCTCCATTAAGATGCTGTCCTGAGGGGATGACAGAGACAGACAGGTGATGCTGGGAGGGTTTATTCCAGATGCTTCTTGGGTGAGGCTGCTAGCAATGAAATCTCCCCAAACTCAACATAAATGTGTACTGGCCCCTCTCTCTCTCTCACCCACCCACGCCCTGACCCTCACACATTACATCTGAGAACTCCTAGGGTCCACTCAGATCTGCCCAACCACTCCTCATAGACTCCAGGAGAGGAAAGACCAGGCTGGGAGGGAAGAAGATGGTTCAGATGCTTCCTGTCCCATTGGCCACTGTATCCTATTGTCTTCCATTATGAGGACAAGTGGCCTCAATGAAGTGGGATCCACAACCACCCACAAAAACTTCCCCACAAACAGAAATGCTGACTTCAAGGGGCGCAAGGGAGAGAGCTCTCTCCTCCAACACTCATCATTCTGTCAAGGATTAAACAGGGTCCTCCTCAAAAACAAATGTAGGTAATGATGTAATATGACAACTTATGTAATAATCCCCCCACCCCCACCCCACCCCGCTGCCGTGATCTGAACAAACAGTTGTGAAAGGATCATAGTCCTTAATGTCACCACAGCCCGAAGGAAGGGGACTTTCCCCAGGATTAGCCCCTAACACCTTTTATCTCACTAGAGATAAAAGAGGAGAAAAGTAAACCAAGAGGGATAGACCTTGGTACCACCAAGAAAAGGGAGCTCTGGTGGCCTAGTGGTGAGACACTGCCCTGCAATCCCCAGGGCACCCGGTTCAAGTCTACCAGCTGCTCTGCAGGAGATGGATGGGCAGTCTCCTCCCGTGCGAGTAACTGCCTCTGAAAACCCGCTGAAGTATCAGCTATGGGTCGGTTCTGACTTGAAGGTACACAACAGAGAATTAAGAGGGGACTCTGGGGGTGGAGTCTGTAGGGAGTTGTGCTGCTAACTGCAAAGGTTCGAATCCACTAGTGGCTCCAAGGAGAAGGATGAGCGATCTCCTCCTGTTCTATTTACACCCTTAAACACCCACTGGAGGATCAGCTGTGAGTCAGTTCCGATTTTCGGGCAATGCACCGAGTTGAGAGAACTAAGACATATCCCTTATCCCATCCTGCATTCACACCTCTCTCTCACTTCCTTTTCTCCCCAGAGTCAGGCTTCCTTCACCTGCAACTCAGGTGTGACCTCCATGCAGACCACTGAGTAGTCACTCAGCTACCAGGCGCCCAGCAAGGGAACTGACTGTGTAGTCCAGAGTCAGCTGCCTGGGTTCAAATCCTGGTCCTGCCACTTCCCAACTGTGTGACTGTCTGTAATGTTGCTCCACCTCTCTGGACCTCAATTCCACACCTATAAAATGGGAATGATGGTAAGACTGACTTCAAAGATTGCTGGAGAAATCAACTGAGTAACATTGGAAGCACTGAGAAGTGAGCCTGGCATGGAGTAAGGACAATATAAGCCTTTGGTGTGTGTAGGTGTTAATAGGATTATTAGCCCTATTATCTAAAACTCCACCCTAAGCGAGTCATCCCAAGCTCACACGTCACTCTGGAGTTCAGTGAAGGAATTAGTAACAGGAAGAACAGGCGCTGTGACTCTCTCACACACACTCTCTCTCTCTCTCTCTTACACACACCAGCCTCTGTGTACACAGCACGACAGCCTTCACTTTACGAGCGACCCTGGGAACTCTGAATCTCCTCAGAGAAGTTCAGTGCCTGCCTGGCTCCACATCACACAGCAACAAAGAACTGAAATCCAGACTCAGATCTGGTGTTTCGAAAAATCTGCTCTTTCAGCACCTCCTTTGTCCTCCGAGGAGGCGCGTACGTGGGCAGCGGAGGGGGTGCCAGATTCCCTTTCCCGTGTCCCTGGCTGCAGGGCTGGGACGGGAGCTGGTGCAGAATTACAGCGTGGCTCCTGAGCTCACCTGCAAAGCTGGGAAGAGATCTGCTAAGAGCTAGAAGCTCTTTGCGGGGAAGGTGCATGCATGCACACACGCACGCACACAAAACAGAACAGGCCAGCTAAGCTGAAATGCTCTCCTCGGAGGGAAAGGGAAATAAAATTTGATGAACCTCTGCATAATGTTCAAGTTACAAACGTGCAAAGTGATATTCTACACATATGCTGGGAAACATTCATCTTCTCCCATATCGCCGGGACCGTGCAAATGGGGGCAGCATGGAGATCAGCTTCCTGCTGCTGGGGTCTGGAGAGGTTCCCATCTGCCTCAGCAATGCAAGGTGCGTTTTGGCCACAGATGAACAAGGTGAAGGACCTCCCACAGCCGAAGTGACCACTGGCTGCAGGGTCGATAGAGCAGCTGTAAACTTCAGTTGTTAATATCCCTGCAATAAACATTTACTGAAGACCTGCTGTAGACACTGAGTTGCACCTGTCACTCTCCACACCGGGTCCAAGGCGGACAATGCAGACCTCCTACCTGCGCTGGGCACAGTCTTTCCCCCAGGACTTTGGGAGAGGTGACAGGACCTGAATCTGTCAGATGATAGTGAGAGCTTGAGCCGAAAAGAGTCCACAGGAGGTGCTCAGTAAATGCTCATTGCTAGTAAGAGCTGTGCAGATTGCTTCTCTGGTGCTGCGCAACTTTAAACAAGTGTCTTAACTTCTCTGAGGCTGTCAAATAAGAACAATAATACTAACAGCAGACAGCCCAACAGGCAGAGGTACGCCAGAGGTCCCCAACAGATGTTAGTTGTAACAGTTGATGTGTCTTCCCTCCTATGCCCAGGACGAAGCTGGAGAGCATGGGGAATCCGGGCCCAGACAAGACTATTCTTGGATTCTCTCTACAGGTACAGGACCCAAGAATGGACCAGTAGGGATACAACTGCTGTGGGGCAGAGCTGCTGAGATGAGGGGGCCTGCTGTGTACACACCTTCTATGGAAATGCAATGAGCAGGCAGGCCCAATATACACCCCTCAGCCCAGAAAGACACTAGAATTGCTAAAGGGGTACAGGTTGGAGCCCCATTGAAGAGCAGTCCATGGTGGCCAGCCCATGAGAGCGCCTTTGGATGGACCTAGGATGATGGACTACCATGGGGTCATTGAGATGTAGTCATTGCAGGTACAGTGGACCTACCTACTGGGAGGCAGAGAAAAATGACTTGAAGGTCCAGGGTTAGACTGCTGATATTCTGAGTAACTTTATCAATAGGAGGTGTCTGGGAGTTCTGCTTAAGGATAGTCTGTTTCTGAGAACCTGCCATCTAGCCATCCATCTGACAATCCATCTTTACACCATCCATCTATCCACCCACCCACCCATCTATCTCCCCACATAGTATTCTATGCATTCATCTGTCTACTCTCTCTCATTCAGCCCTCTGCCCACCTACGTATCCATCCACTAATTTATCCACTCTTTACTGTCACCTCCATTCCCAGCTAGACTCTTGCTGAAGACTCGGGTGATGAGCTGTGTTCTTGACCTTGAGGTGTTCTCCTTCCCTAGAAGCCATGCCCAACCCCAAAGCTGAGCGTTCTTTTCATCTGCTGTGACAGAACTCAGGAAGCATACCTTGGTTCAGCCTCATTATGCTCTGTCAGGTCCTAAGAAGCATGGTTTCCAATGACAAACACGGAGTCTCAGTCTCCTTCTGGGTTTCTCAATCCCCAATCACACAAGTCCAAGGCAATTTTACGCTCCACAAAACATTAAAATGCCCCAAATATTCCAATCTTGTAAGGTCTGAACTCTGCTACACCCAGCCCTCACTTTCCTCTCCATGGTTCCCCAGAAATATGTTAGACCACTCACTCTAGTTTGTGGCTGGGGCCTTGTGACCAGTGAGGCCAGGTCATCGGCTTCAGGGTCCCAGTGGTGGTTGGAGGTGACCTCATGGGCACTGGCCTCTCCCGGAAGTACTTGATGGCCTCAGGTTCTATGAAGGTTGACTCCTCCCGGTAGCTCTGCTCAAAGACCTTGCGCTTGTGCCGGAACTCAATGACAGTCTTGGTGTAGGAGTTGAGCGTGGTGACAGAGGCTGCCATGCAGCAGGTAAAGGAGCCCCATGCCAGGCTGCCAAGAGATCAGGAGAGAGATGTCATAATGAGACAAGAGACGTCCAACCTACCAAACTACCCTGCATCCTTGTACAATTGGTCCTCTTACCCACCCATCTCCCACCCCTGGGGAGACTCTGTGAAGGGGCTGTAATGTAGAAGACATAGTTCCTGCCCCACTCAGTGTGGTCCAGGAGGCACAGAAATTACCTGAACATAAGGATGCAAAAAGATAGCAAGTCATTCCGCCCAACGGGGCTGGCAACAGGAAGAGTCACACAGCACACAGTACGTGCCTGTACTGGGACTTGTAAGAAAAGTGAGAGTTTGCCGAGGGAAAGGACATTTAAGGAAAGAGTTCTAGCAAAGGAATGTAGGGAGCATCTCACACTGTAGGAGGCATAGGATGTTAGAGTGAAAAACACCCAAGATTAGTAGGCGTTGATGATTGGAGAAGAAGAGAGGACCACCATCCACCACCATCAAGTCGATTCTGACTCCTTGTGAGCCTATAGGTTCGAGCAGAACGATCCCATATGGTTTCCAAGATTGCAAATCTTTACAGGAACAGATTGCCACACTTTCTCCTGAGGAGTCACCAAACTCATCTGAACACCGAACTTTTGGTTAGCAGCCACCCAACACTTAGCTTGCCACCGGAGTTCCTTAAAGGAGGGGCCAAAGACTACGAAAACAGGTTTTTTATACGTGTTAAGCTACTTTTACTTACTTTAAAAGTAACTTATACTCATGTGACTGACTCGCTCTTCAGAGTCTTCATGGCCACTGAAAAGTAGACATAACACTAAGACTGTTGCAGGAGTAGAAGAGATGATTCATTCAAAATATCTTAGGACAGTGCCTAACATATAGTAGGCAGTCAAGAAAAGTTCACTGTTACTAGTAACATCGTTAGTGTTATTCACATTTTCAATTTCCTCTGTGGCTTGGTTTCTCTGGGAGATGATGGTATAATGGCCTGGTGGCTTGCTACTCCACACTCTATCTATCTTGGGACACTTGGCTATCTTCATCTGATGTGTACACTGAACTTGGTCAATGCTGGAGAATCTGTCATGTCCACATCTAGAAGGAAGGGGAGAGTCTAGCTCTAAGACCTCTCCCACTCGCCAATGGTCTAATATTTAACCACAAACCACCCCCACCAGCCCCACCCCCGACCACCCTCATCCCAGCCATGGACAATCAAGAGCTAAACATCTGATGAATACTGCTCCAATTAGACACTCCCTTCTGAACAAGGCAGAAAGTTCTCCTTCAGTCTGTGATGTCTGTTTGAATCAGCCTGGTGGGAAACTGGAACTTGGTGAAAGGGGAATGAAGAAACAAGTTTTTCCTGAGATTCCAAGAGTTGTTGTTGTTGTTATGTGCCATCGAGTCGCTTGCGACTCATAGCGACCCTATGTACAAGAGCTCTAAATGCTGTTCTATCCTGTGCCCACCTAGCCATCTCAAACACACTTATTCCCACCGCTCCAGTCACAGAATCAATCCATCTCACCAAAGGTCTTCCTCTTCTTCGCTTCCCCTCCACTCTGCCAAACATGATGTCCCTTTCCAAGGACCAGTCCCTCCTTGCAACATGCCCAAAATATGTCAGATGAAGCTTCAGAATCCTTGACTCCAGGGAACACTCTGGCAGAACAGAGCAAGGAGATTCCAGGAGTATACAACTATTTTACCAGCATTCATTCTTTCTTCTGGTAGCAGTATTGCAATTCTAACATAAACACTCCTTCCTTCCTCTCAGACCATGTGATTTGATGGATCTTGTTCCACCCCTAACTTTTAGGATGAGCACATATCCTAGGATTGGACAATGAGTGTTCCTTCATTCTGGAGCTGGGAACTGGTTCAAGGATGGGCATGTGACCCAAACCAGAATAATAAGATTCAATCCTTGGACTCTCCTCAAAGCTCATACATATCCTGTATTGTTAAGCTAATGAGATCTGAGTCAGAAGCTGCTGGGACAATCTTGCTGTCACCTGACCTGATAACAAAGTTGACTCAAAACAATGTAGAGTCATGAAAAGGAGGTGGATTCCAGCGCGAAAGCCTTTGTCACTGGACATTTCAGTTATGGAAGCCTAGAATTTCTTTTTGTATTCTTCTCCCCTCTTAAGTCAACTTGAATTTAGTTTATATATCCTGCAACAATTATCTTTATAAATTGATTTCCCTTCCTGATAATTTCCCTTCTTTTTCATGTTAGTGTGGAAGTTAATCTTTATTGCTATAGGTCTTAACTATAATCAGGTCTAATTCCCAGCCTAGGAGATAAAGGAGAAATTTTCCAAGCACTCAAATGCAAGATTCAGGCAAGGAAAAACCCTCAAATCACACTGGGAGGGAGTTGGTGAAATCTAATGCCTCAGTAAGGAGGGATAAGTTCCCTCTTGAGGAAAGTGTTGGGACAGGTGAGAGGGTGACAGACCTAGAAATGATGCCATAGGCATCCTACCTCCCATCTGTTTAGGCACTGAACCTTCTGTTCAAATGGAATATTACCTCGAGCTTGCTCCTTCTGCCTCCCCACCCTCCAGTGGCATGACTTCTTGTCTACTACACAACACCACTCCTTTTCCCAGCCCCTTGGACTTATTTTTTTTTTCTTAGCTGTCCCAGCTCTTTGTCTGATGGCTTCCTTCTCATTGTGTCACATCACTCCACCCCCTGGCCATCCTCACCTTCCCTGTGTATCTATGAAATCTTCTCCCTAACTCTTTCTCAATCTCATCACAACATCACTCTCTTGCATCTTATTGATTGTTGTTTGTTCTGAAATAGCCTGTTTTCTTTTCAGATCACTGTAGAGTCAAATGCAATTCAAGAAATACTACAGAAAGATCCTGTGTGCCCCTTTCTCAGTTTCCTCCAATGGTAAAACCTTGTGAAATTATATACAGCATCACAGAATCAATAGTCAAGATACAGAAAAATGACATCACCACAGGATCCCTGTGTTTCCATTTTTCAGCCACACTTCCTCTCTTGGCCTCAACCCCAGGCAACTCCTAATGATCCCTCAATGTTAAATGCTGTCATTTCAAACATGTGATAGAGACATATATTATATATGTCTGTGATTGGCTTTTTTCCATTTAGCATAATTCTTTGGACATTCACTCACGTTGCTTCATGTATTAAGTTTGTTCCTTTTTATTTCTGACTAATACTCCACAGGGGACTCTAGTGGCAAATCCACAAGGAGAGTCTACAAATTCAAAGGTGATGCCTTCTCTGCTGGTTCAAATGTACTAGACACTCAGACCGAGAAAGCCAAGCAATCTTCTCTTGTACAATTTACAGCCTCTGAAAACCCACTAGAAGGTCAGCTGTGAGTAAATTCTGACTTGAAGGCAATGAGTTTGTCGAACATTTCATAGGGAGTTCAGGTGGCCTAGTGGGTACATAGTTGTGTTGCCAACCCAAAGGCAGGCAGTTCAAGTCTACCTACTGCTCCACTAGAAAAAGATGGGCAGTCTCCTCCTATGCTATTTACCACCTCTGAAAATCAGCTGGAGAGTCAGTTATGAGTTGGTTCCATCTTTATGGCAATGACTTCAGTTGAGTATTCCATGGGATAACACCATTTGTTGAACCCACTGACTGATGAGTTATTTCTAATCTTGGATAGTTATGCATAAAGCATCTATGAATATTCATGTGCAGGGTTTTGTGTACACGTGGTTTTCATCTCTCTGGGTTAGATACGTAGGAGTACCACTAATGGGTCAAGTGGAAGCTACTTGTTTAGTTCTTAAAGAAACTGCCACTTTTCCAGAGGGACAATCATTCATTGCCGGGTGTAAGTGTCTCCACATCTTGACCAGCTTCTTGTGCTGTTGCTCTTTGTTTTCTTTCTTTATTTTTAGATATTCTGATAGGTAAGCATTGCCATCGTATTGTAGAATTCATTTGCATTTCCCTGGTGACTGAAAATGGTGAGCATCTTTTCATTTGCTTATTTGCCATCTGTGCATTCTTTTTGATGACATATCTGTTTGTAGGTTTTGCCTATTTTGTAATTGGATTGTTCCCACATTTTTTCAGTTGTTTTTTTGAGGGTGGAGGAGGGAGTTGTGTTGATCATCTGAATGTTCATTCCACTGCTCTGGTGATTTGAATCCACCAAGAGCTTCAAGAGAGAAAGAAGGCAACCTCCCCCATGCATTTACAGCTTCTGAAAACCCACAGGAGGGACAGCTCTGAGTCAGTTCTGACTCGACGGTAATGAGTCTTTGGTGTTTTTTTAAAAAAAATATAGTTTACAAAAGTTTCCCCCTACTCTGTCTTTGCATCCTCTTAATGTTGTTGTTGTTGTTGTTAAGTGCTGTCGAGTTATAGACGATTCATAGTGACCTTGTGAATGAAATATCTGAACACTTGTATAATTTTCACTGTTTCTCCACATTCATAGATCCCCTTAATAGGATCTATAAAAAGCTTTTTAAAATATTTATCGAGTTCAACTTATCAGTTTTTCCTTTTATGCTTTTGGTGTCAAGCCCTAGATAAGAAAGATTTTTTTTCTCTTATGCTTTTCCCTAAAACTGCTATTGTTTCATATTTACTACTTAAGCTTATTATCCACTTTTTGTTAATTTTTAATAAGGTGTGAGGTTTAAATAGAGGTTAATTTAAAAAAAAAAAACACCACAAAACGTTTTCTTGTGATTGGAATGAGAGTTTACAGAGCAAATTTGGTATTCCATTTTTGTTTGTTTGTCAATGGGTGTATAATTGTTCCAGTACCACTTGTTGGAAAAATTATCCCTCATCCACTAAATTGTTTTTGCGTTTTTGCCAAAACCATCTGGCACATCTGTTTCTAGGTTCTAAATTCTGTGTCACTGACATATATGTATATCCCTCCACTATCATGACACAGTCAGTCTTCATTACTTTAACTACATAAGTCTTGAAATAGAATAATCGTCTTCCTCTTATTTTATCCATTTCCAGAATTACTTGTTCCTTCCATAAAAAATT